CTGAAGTCTTTCCTAGTCGTTCTGTTTCCAGCAGTAGCTGGCAGACTACTTTTAGTGCTAATGTCTAGAGGCCCTGAGGGTCTACCTGGTACCTCCTGCTCTTTCTCCATTCTCCCCTATTTATTCAGCACCAGTGGTTTCAGGCAGCCCAAGAAGACACAGTCACTCCAACTGCACAGGGCTCTTTTGGGGTTTCCAAGCAGAAAGGCTAAAGATGAGTAAAACTGTCTTCCTGGACTCAGCTCAATAGAACGAGGCATGAGGGAGGTCCTGCTGTTATTTAATACTTACTGAAAGCCCACAAAGCTCTACTATACATGAGTACAAAATTATGGCATGATCTTTAGCCTCTGGAGGCCCGGCTGAATCTTCATGAGAAGCTACAATGCTGACTTCCCACAGAAGCAGAGAAACAGTTAAGGGACATTACACCCTCCGTGATTGGCTGGTGTGACTGCACTTAGCAAGCAGAGCTTTCCAGCAAGATGGAGAGGCACTCCCTGCTCTCTGCTCTGGGTCCCTGAAGCACAGATTCAGTCTATTTAATGCACTCATTACATCTTAATTATCAAGATTTACTTGCTTGTTGATTCTACACTTGCTGAGTGCGGCCTACTATGTGTCAGGCACAAATCAGGTGCTTAATAACTGTTGATAGAATGAAAAATGGAACCTCACTCAGCCTGTGAGAATGCAGTATGAGTATATGCATTTGTGAGGGCATAAGTGTAGGATTAAAAAAAAAAGTGTTGCTTGAGCTAAATTTTGAAATATGAGTGGGAGTTACCCCGTGGATAAGGGGAGGGGGGTGAGAAGGCATTCCAGGAAGAGGTAAAAGCACATGCCAAGGCATGGAGCTATATGGGGACTCGAGCACAGCTTACATGCTATAAAGCTAGCCTGGTGCTGGATAGAGACAGGGGAGGAAACCTGCTTTCAAACCAGTCCCAAGAACTGGTTTGAGATCGTATACTTAAAATATTTGCTTAGAAGGGAATATGAGTTTCAATTCCAGGGAGAGAAAAACCAAGATAGATATGGATTTTCTGAAGTCAGGAAACAGCATCGCGCTCATAATCCCAAGGCTGACCAGCGAGTGCACTGCTTGGCCTTTGGACACAACTGAAAACTCTTCTCCACAGTGTAAGAGCTGGTAGGTGGTGACTGTAGTGAATCACTGGGGGTTTCCCTCTGGGAGACCCATAAGTCTGATAAGGAGAGGGGATGGTGAGGGGAGAGAGAAAAGTCAGCGAGAGGACAAGAGTCAGCCAGTCGTCAATACACTGTTGTTTTAGTGAGAAGACCCCAGTGGGATGAATCATTTCTCCAAAACCAAAGAGAGATCAGTTATTAAAGGGTTTTGTAAATTGTAGCATGTTACCCAGATATATAAGGTACTGTCATTATTATGATAGGAAGCCAAGAGTGTGGCCAGCTCACTCAAAGCATATGGGCAAAAGTAATTTTGGCAAGGCAATAGCAAGGGGGCTAAAAATGTTAAAGGCACAGAACAACAGTTGTGTTTCAGGGATGCCTGGGAAAAGGCATACTCAACTTTGATTCCTGCAGATACTTTATAAAGCTGTAATTCCCCCTTACTTTTCTTACTGTTTACAGTAAATTATGAGAGAAGTTCAAACTGATTCTATGTGAATTCCTCAAGGGCAAGGAACACTCATATTTACCTAGCATCGTGCCTGGCAAGCAGGTAGCACTTAGTAAAGGTGGGTCTCTGAGAGGAGTGCAGGAAGGGGAGGAAGGATGAAGGGGGATGTTATAATGGAAAAAAAAAATCATGTCTCCAGCTGGACAGTGATGGTTTGGTTTCTTGTCCAAAGCTAGTAAGCACTTACTGTGAGTACTTGGTCATTCACATTGAGGGGTGGAATGGATAATGATATCCCCAGCAAAATGAATAAATCAACTTGAGAAATGAAGAGAGCAGAAATCAAGAGTGCTACTTGGGGTACGCTTGTGGAGAAAAGCATGTGGGACTGGAAAATAATAGATTCTGTAGCTGAAGAGAAAAGAAAAGTATTTGCAGAAATATTATCCACTTCGGAGAAGGTGTACTGGGGGGGGGAAGGAATAGGGCCTGGGAAGGTCCTACCGTTTCTGTCAAGGAAAAGGAAGTACTGTCAAAAAGATGGCAAATGTGGAAGGAAGAAAACCATAAGAATGTGGTCAAAGTAGATGTGTAAGATCAAATGCTGAAAAATCCAGACAGTAAAATCCAGAGATATTTGTATACATACAAATAAAATCTGGTGAGACATCATCTTCCCATTTATTTCCCTTTGGAGAAAAAAAAATATTTTGAGCCAACAAGGCCACTTGGTAACATCCTTTACACCTATTCTAGAATGATTTTACTTGTAGTGCATATCGTAATGAGGACAGAGATAGCATTGTCAGGGTTTCCTAATCTTAATGTTTACCCAATACTAGACATCAAGGAAGTGTGACATCCAAGGTCCAGTATTTGGGAGGCACCTGTGGTCATCTGGCAATTTTTCAAGGGTCATGAGCAAGTGCGAAACCAAGAGCTCTCAGTAAAAAGATTAGTTTAAGAATAAAATACCAACGACAAATCTCTGAATTAGAGTAAAGATCATATGTGCAGGCTTGCTCCTTCTGATTTTCTTGTTAAAAAAAATCCCTGTTTATTTTGGTGTGTTAAACCAATAAGAGGGGTTTGAACTGAAAGGGGATTATAAACAACTCTAATGGCGAGCTGTTTAACCAATATAAACCTTTGTCAGAGTTTTCTCTATTAAGCTGTGGGCACCACACCCAAGCTTCAGGCAGCCATCCAGTTAAACGAAAAGCTAACAACTGGTAAACTGAGTTGTTCTGCTTTTCTCACAAGCCTGTTTTCTATTCTCACTATATAATCCCAGGAGCTCAAGGAAACCACTTCTATTAAAGAAGGACGTTACTGCGTTTGGATGTGTGGAAGAAGGCAGGAAGGGGAACAGGAAACCTCTCCCAGGAAAGCTCTGCGGTGAATTCCATGGCTTAGCTCCTTTCACCATTACATTTTTGGACAAGAAATCAGTCTATCTTTGGTTCCAAATCCACACCTTTGGGATTCGAGTGGAGTGAAAGTTCTATGAGAGATGAGGGTGCATCAGGAGCAGAACCTTTACAATCCCCAGACAGCATTCTCCCAATAAGCCTTGCTTGGTTGGCACCATTTCTGCCTCCTCCTTCTCGTGGAGAGGTACTATTGGGTAGAAGTGTCCTGACTGCTATCTGCAGAGCAGCGTCTGCTGGTGCATGTAATCAGAGGACAGTGTGGATCAAGCTTCCTAAAAGCGATCCTGTCCTTCCTTTCCCTCAAGGATTCTGCAGCAGGGAGGGTGGTCTCCCAACACCCATCCTTTGAAGGACTCCTTTAGTTCCCCAGAGCAAGTCAGATCAAAGACCACACCCAGAGGCCTCTCCCAGACCCCATAAGTCTGGAGCCATCCAGAAGCAAGATCATCGTGGGGCTGCCAGGGAAGGAAGCCACACCCTGAACTCAGGGCATTCAGTGAAAATCATATATTGCAAAGTCTCATTCCCACACTGCCCTCACTCACTCATTCAATCACACTGACTGAGCAAAGACTATTGCAAAGCCCTGGGCTGGCTGCCATAATGCAACTTATTAACAAATATACATTCTTGCTTTGCCTCTCCTTGATACTTTTCCCCAAATAAACTTCTGAAAACAAATTTCATGATTCCAAGCTTTGTGACCACAGGCAAACTGCCAGGCTTCTCTGAGGGCAAAATGCCTAATGATTAAGTGGGAATCGTTTCATGAGGCTACTGTAAGAATTATATAAGAGGCGAAACATCCCTGGTACAGTCCTGGGCACACGGATGCTCAATAACCCCACACATCCTCTCTTCCTTCAAAAGACTCTCCTATCAGCACCTGCCACAGGCAGGTATTCCACCTGTTCTACTGATTTCTTGCAGGGGTTCAAACCTCTGCTGCAGATGTCTCCCTGGCCCTCCCCTCGCCTGTGACCTGTGCTCTTGCAGAAGTTCCTGCCTCGTGAAAATCCCATCTGTTGTGCAGTGGCCCACCACGGAGAAGAAAGCCCCAGCTGGGGGTGGGGGTGCTGGTGGACAGAGGCCCCCGAGTCCCTGCCACTCCACCCTGTAGGAGGGAGACAAGTTAGGGCGCAGTAAGTCCTGAGGAGAAGTTACTCCTGGCCTGATCCCAAGGGAGACTCCTCTCTCCTCAGCAGTTCGAGGGCACTTTATCAGACCGTCCCTTACACAGGGGTGATCTGGGGGGTCCACCCCCACCGCAAGCTTCTGAGGCTCCCGCGTGTTCCCCAGTGCGCTCCTGCTGAGGGGCTCCAGAGCCACAGTCACAGACGGTCCCTCCGCGGACCCGCCACACAGGGTCTCCCCGCGGCAGCAAATGCAGCGGGCGTCTCCGCTGACAGGCAGGGGGGGGGGGGCGCCCACACACTGCCTCAGCGCCCCCGCGGGGAGTCGCGCCCCGCCGCCCCGCCCCGCCGCCCCCGCCCGGGACCCCCGAGACACATTTTGTCAGTCACAGTGCATCTGGTCTCTGTCTGAGCCAATCAGTGTCGGGAGGGCGGGGCCGGGGGCCGGGAGGCTTGGGGATTGGCGGAGCGCAGCCTGTGCCCCAGGGCATGCCGGGAATAGTGGTGGCCCGGGAGCGGCAGCCCAGGCTGAGCCCTCCCAAGCCCTTGAAGTTGCGGGGGGGCTTAGCTTCAGTGTTTTGGCTGAGAACGCCCTAAAGCTTAAAATAAAACCTGCTTGCAGGGTGTGGGGGGAGGGTGGAGGAGGACGCAGTTCAGCGGCCCCCGACCTCCCTCAGTTATGGTCTGTAGTGGAGGATTTTGGGCTAGAGGACTGATGAGTCCAACACCCCCAGCCCCCAGCAGACTCTCCAGAGCCCCCCAAACTGCACCCCAGCCACACCCCAGGATGCCTCTCCGCACTTACAAGGAAATGCAAGCGCCAGGAGAAGGATCCGCACCAGGAGGTCTTCAAACTGCTCTACCACCAACTCCCACAGGGACTTCCCTGGGGGACGAGGCGAGCAGAGGCCCCAGGATGAAGGTCTAGAGGATGAACGTGTGGGACTCCAGCCTAGAGCAGGAATGGGGTGATAGGCACCTTGATACCGACAGAAGGGTGGAGGGAACTTGCCAGGAGTCAAAAACAGGCTCCCAAAGCGATGGGCAGTTGTTCAAGGGCTGGATATCTCAAAGAGAAAGCGCCTGGAAACTTCTGCCCCCAGCCAGACTCTAACCTGTGGGGAGGGCCGTTTGTCGGGAGTCGTAGGGAGAAGGGAGTGGGGTACAGAGGAGACGGGGGTCATTGATGAGAACTCAGGGAGTCCAGTAACTTACCTTCCTCAGCCGGGAGCTCTACCCAGGGAAACAGAAAAGGACATATTCATTTGGGTTCATTCTAATACTACCCCACCACCACCACCAGGACTTATGCCTAAAGTAAGGGCACCAGGCCACCAAAGGGCACCCGAGGTTCACCAAGGTCATCCCATAAAACCTCCCCAAACTCTGAGTCTCAGGGCTCTCCCCTCCCCTGCAATCTGTACCATGAGCCAGTTCCTCCCTGGGGTACCCTGGAGGGAGCGCCCCTGTGTGCATCTGCGTGTGTGCATGTGTGTGCGCTGCAGTGCTGTGAGAGGGCCCTGCCAGTCTCCTCCAAGGGACACTCACCATTGGGGCCGTATTTCTCCAGATGCCGCTTAACTTGGTCCGGGGTGAGGCCTATTGTCTCGCTTACCCCAAAATGGGCCAGACATTCCTCTGTGGTCTTGGAGTGTGCGGCCTCCATTGTGCTCCCTTCCTGGGGGCCAGGGGGAGGTGTGTTCCTTCTAGGGGGACTCTCACACGTGGGGGGCCTTCCTCAGTGTGTCCACCTGCCTGTTTGTGCTTCTTCCTTTTCTCTCCTACCCCCCCAGGTTTTTCTTCCCTCCACGAAGCTCTGACCCCCGTCCCACTTGCAGCAGCCGGCCACCCCCCCCAGCCCCCAGCAGGTCCTTATGAGGGAGTGGGGGAGGCCAGGCTCCCCCTCCCCCACGTCAGGTATTGGCTGGCTGAGACTCCAGCAGGAGGGGTCAGGAGAGAGAGATTTCTGCTGACAGAGGGGGAACAGTGGGGCTGCAGCCTGAGATGTCACTCACGAGGGAGCTAAGGTGGCTCCAGCCCCAGGGGAGGGGGGCAGGGAAAGACACTGCTTTCTGTCTTCTGCTATGACTCCTCCCCCAACTGCCTCGACTTCCTCAGTTACACTTAATTTCCTATTCCTGTTCTTTCCCTGAACCGACTCCTCTCAGACCTTCACATTCACTCCCCTGGCACCTCTTCCCAGTTCGCCCAACCTGACCCCGTTTCTATTGCCACAGTTCTCCTTCCTCCTCACCTACTTTACAGAAAAGGTAGCAGAGATACTCCAACTTTTAGGGGATCGAAGAGAAGAAGGACATCCTTTGAGGGCCAGAGGAAGTGGCTCTAGAGGAACAAGGGGAAGTAGGGAGCGAGAGGGTCAAAGGGACAGGGCAGAAGATGGTAACTCTACCCTTGGGAGGGGTTGCCACAGCCATCAACAAGGGATTTAGTGTCCAGGCCCTGTGATCAAAGCCAGGACTGCCTGTCTCCCCTAAACTCCCCCCATCATCGCTCTAACTGAGCCTCTGAGAACATGGCCTTCAGGGTTCCCCCATCCCCGACAGGGAATTCCCCCCCCCCAACAAGAAAATGGGATACCCAGGCAGCTGGGTAACCCAAGAGGCTACAGAATGTGCTGATGGCAGAGAGGGAGAGATGTCTCAGGATGGGGGTAGGGTCACCCCAAGTCATGTATTGAGGGTCACCTCACCCCACACTGTGCTCTTTAGCCCAGGGTTTACAGAGGTGGTGTGTGGTCTGCAATGCACTCTGGTCCCGAGTATCTGTCAAGGGTACTGAGGTGTGCAGTTGTGTGCTCAACCCCACTGGAAGAGACAAGCGGAAGGGCACAAGGAGAGGGGCCTGGGGGCACTGGATAAGGCAGAGGCTGCAGCCCCAAGGAATGGGCTCAGCAGGTCTAGGGGAAAGGACAGAACAGAGCCAGAGCTGGGGGAGCAGAGGGGGCTGCAGGGTTAGAGGAGGGGGTCTGAGGTGCAGTGGGAAAAGGGGTAGCCCAGAGGTGGGGGGGAGCAGCCAGGGGGTGGGGACGGGGCCAGGGCTGGGTGCAAAGCCACAAGTTGTTGCTGAGCGGCTGGCCTTGGCGTCAGCTTCCTCAGAGAAGCAGCTGCTCTGAGCCCCCCACCCCCCGGCCCCACCCCTGCTTGGGGATGAGGGCCTTTTGGTTCCTATCAGGGCAGCTGCTGGAGGAGCAGACAGGGTAGACAGGGTGTGGGTAGGGGAGGCAAGGAGGGCAGAGAGGCTCATGGAGAATCCTGGGAAAGGTCAGTGAGGGGAAGCACATTTTGACCCTGTCCTCCAGCCCTAACTCCATCTCGGCCTGCTCCCTGAATGATGAGGCCACGGACCTCGGAAAGGGCCTGGAGGCTGCTTGCTATTCTCGTGCTCAAGTTCCTCAGTAGATGAGAGACACAGAAGACAGCAGGCAAAAGAAAGGGAAACCCCACTTTTGGGGAGTGGGTAGGTCAACAGGGATGGGGTGGCTGGCACTTAAGATTTAGCTCCCCTCATACTCACCCCTTCTACTCCCTGAGCTTGGGGGAGGGGCAGCCTCCAGGGTGAGTTAAGGACACGGTGCTCCTCCCCTCCCTCCCTTCCCCCCCTTTACAGGGTTCCCAAACCCCTCCCCTGAAGCAGAATCCTGCTGTGACCCATTAGTGGGAGGGGGGGTGTCAGACAATGGGATGTGTCCAGGTCATATCAACAGGCACCTCCACCTGGTCTAGCACCCACCTTCTCTGGCCAGAGCCAGGCAGAGCATGTGCCAAGCTTTTGGGGGCTGGCTGGCTTCTCCCCACCACCACCTGGAGGAGTGACAGGGGCACTGTCTTAAAGGAGCAGGAATGCCCATACATGGAGGAGAGACTGCAGAGATCACAGCTTCAAGGAAGTGGCGAGCAAGAGACCCAGGAAAGGAGGCTTTACAGGCCACTGCTGCCAGCAGGGCCCTTTAAGGTTCTCCATCTCTACCACCCCCAACTTCCCAGAGGGGGACTGAAGCCAGAGAGGGAAGGGCCCCAGCCAAGGGCTGCCAAAGAATCGCCATCGGGGATGAAGGCTGCCTAATGAAAGCTGACTATCTCCCACCCAGGGTCTCTAAGCTCTAAGTTCAGAGCTGGAAGATTTTCTTCTCTCCTATGAGGGCTGTGTGGGAGCCACGTTCTGAAGGACATCAATGCAGAGCCAGGCCAGTCCCTGGCCAATTTCAAACTTCAGTTCAACCACCCATTGAGAAAGACTTAGAAGGGAAGTCTCTTAGGTGTCTCTAGCCAAGACATGCAAATCTTGGTGGGGTAGGGGGGTATCCCTGTATACCTCTCCCCAACCCATCTTCAGAAGGCAGGTCCCTGAAAGCTGGCAAGCTGGCAGGGTTTCAGGGAAGGGGGAAGCCTCACAGCACCAGGAACTGCCAGAGGAGGAGGATCAGTTCCAGCTAACTGGGGAGTGGGGGTGTGTGAGTCAGGAGGGAGACAGATATCACTGCCTTTACTGCCCTCACTTTTAAGAACGCAGCACCCAGATCCCCAAACCATTCCTCCCTTTTCAAGGCCAACTCTATCCCCAGATTCCAGAGGCCCAGGTTTAGGGGAGCCCCAGGGATCATCTAAAACAGGGAGAGCCAGCAGACTCCCCCACTCTACCTCAGCCTGGGTGGCCTGTGAGCCCAGCTGCCTCCTGTCCATCTCCCAATAGGACACAAAGCCCAGAATAGCAAGGTCGTAAGCGTGGGTAGGGCCTCCTGGAAGTGGGGGCAGAGGCTGGGGGGCACCTGGGAAGGAAAGCAAAAGGCAGGATGGTAAGAGGCAGAGCTGGATGGAGGTGAGCGGGCCAAGCAGTTTAAGTAGGATTCTGCAGTACCCCATCCCTCCTAGTTGGTACCCACCACCCCAGAGCTGGGAAGTCCAGGGGTGCCCTCTGTTGGAGAGCAAAATCACAGTTCAGTTCAGAGGGAGGAGCCTGGGTTTAATGGAGGGCCCTGAGGAGGAGAGGAGCGCTGCCAACTCAAATGCCCACAGGGGCCAAGAAGTCATGTGACTTTCTAGGTGGGTGGAAAGAGGGCAAGGTGGAAGATGAACTCCGTGAGGCTGGATCTTCTGATTTCAAGAGAAGCCGGCAATCTGTGAACTCCAGTGGAAACATCATCCAGGCCAGGCCAATCACGTCAGCAGCTCTGACCCAGATGTGACTCCCGTTTCACAGATCTGTCCCCACACGGTATCCTGAGTCGGGGAATGCTACACCTTGCCCAGGTAACAGAGTAAATAACAGGCAAAGCCAGGTGCGCTTTGCCTTCCATCCTCCAGCTTCCCCGCTGGGCCCTGAGGGGCTGTCAGCCTGCCCTGGGCCCTCTCCCCACACAGACGCCATAGCCCTGCCGCCCACTCCCGGCGGTCTCCCTGCCTGCTTTCTCCCTAGGGTAGGAAGCCTTAACCAGAGACTCCACAGCAGGAAAGGCCCCTGAAGACTGGCAACCCCGCTGTTCACCATCCTGTCCCATTAAGGGAAGTTGCCCAGAGACCCCGAGAAGAGGGGTCCGGCTCTGCACTTACGGCTCGACCACCACCACAGCCCGTGAGGAGCGGGGGCTGGAAGCACAAGGCTGGAGAGCAACAGGGACTCGACCTGACCCTGCTTCCCAGCCTCGTAGCTCTGGCGCTGACAACACTGAGTGGGCTGCTTTCCTGACCCGCCTGGCCCAGCCCCCACCGCAAACACTGGCCACAGCCATCACGATGGAACTGAGATAAATCCTTTTAGTTATGCGTCTCCATTTTGTTTAAAACAACCACCACCACCTTAATATAACTGACAGCCCTTCCCCTGCACCCTTCCTTGGGCTGGGGAGGGGTGGTTAATGGGGAAATGGCCCCCAGGGGTGGGGCTGACCATAGAGCCCCTCAGGGAGGTAATGGAGGCCGAATCCCCTGCCGAGGGGACAGGGCACCTGTAGTGTATGAACTGGGGAGTTAACAGGGCTCGTCAACCTTTTCTTGTACCATCATACATGCCCTTGGCCTTCAAGGGTCAGGAAGCATGTGGGAGGGGATTCCTACTGCTCCTCTTTGTCCTTACCCAGTCCCAATCTCACCAACCGAGGGCTGGGGAGCAAGAAGAGTGGAGAAAGAGTGGGATGGGGTGCCTCACACGAAGGAGTACTGGTTACTAATGGCTCTGGGATGGCCCCCTTCTTCTCCATCGCCCCCTAGTGGCAACTGCTGGAGCTGCACCATCAGGGTCACCCCAGGATCCCCACCAGATCCAGAGACTCCCTGGGCCTCTGTGCCAGGTGCTATGGCCTCTTCCAATTCAACCACGGGGACCAGCTCAACCACGGGGACCAGCTCTTCCTGGACCCCTCCACTGCCCGCTTTCTCTTTCTCTTGCCTCTCTTTGGCTGCTGCGGCGGTTGCTGCCGCCACTTCTGGCGCCCCCGACGCCTCTTCTGCCCCAGGTTGTGGGGGATCTGTCCATGAAGGGGGTTCAGGGGGCTGGGGTAGGTCATGGGAGGTGTTCGGTTCTAGACAGGAATGGTAAGAAGACAGACTGATTGTGGATGGAGGCAAGCTCCTGTAGCGGCCTTCCCTTCGCTCATCCCCCCAGGAGCCATGTGCTATCTCCCCCACGTCCCATCTCCTGACAACCCCCCATCCATGGAAGATGGATCATGGGCGGCAGTGAGAGGAGGACCACACTTACACACAGTCACTCACTCCGAAGGGCATGAGGGTGGAGGAGGCATCGGGGTAGCATC